GTACGTAACTCAGCAGTCTTTCTCTAAGGCTGTTACACCAGTTCACAAATAAACTCTGAGGCTAAAACTTTAGTATAGCAGCGTGTGGATCAACATCGTGTCAGGAACAATCACATGGTTGGCGTGGTTTGGTGTGAATCAGTTGGCAATGCAACGTTATGCGAGTCTACCCAGATTAGAGCAAGCTCAGGTACGTCACTGCCCTGAGAAGCAAATCTTATTTGCCCGTAACATCCACTTGGTCATTTACAGCAAATCATCTATTGGACTCTTGCTCCCTTCACTATTCTCTGCTCTGCAGTCGCTTTCATTGGGTTCATTGCACTGGCTTATTTTTACAATTGCAACCCTATTGAGACTGGTCAAATCACAGAAACCGATCACCTAACTATCATATTTGCCAGAGATGTTCTGCGTGAGTTAATCTGCCAATCAGAGACAACGAAGTAACTTGACAATTACTTTCTTTCTTGAGGCAGAACCCTTTATCAGTGGCGGCTCGAGAGCTCCGCTTCCCCTGAGAATGGGTAGCGAAGTTGTTAATCACAGGTTAAAAAAATTGCAAGTAACGTGTTTAAATTCGTAAATAATCTATTTTTTTCTAGATTTTATTATTGCCTTCTAAAAACATCTAAACAAACACAGAGATTTGAGTCCACAAATTTAGAAAAGAGTAAAATCATCTCAAAATTAAACCGATTACTGGTTTTACACACAACCGGTTTCGGGGCTTAGAACTAGACCGGTGGTGTAGCTTTCTTGGCGCCCCATCATCAGTAGTTCCCAAGAAAGCTTCAAAAAGGATAAATTTCTTAGCGTGTTAGGTCGTTGTGTTCGGTCGTGTTTTTGTAGGTCCATAACGCGAAATTTAGAAAAGGGGGTTCGCCTTCAGACCCCATTTCTGTGAAATTTCGGGTTATGGACCTACAAAAATTATGGAAAGCAAGAAAATTCTTTCGATGTGAGAGGCTAATGTCAGCACCATCATTTAATATATAAAAAATCGTTAGCTTAATTCAAAATCTTCAAATGGCGGGAAACCAAGGGCGGTCCCAATGCCAGATGCGACTCTAGCCCTTTACATTGCTGGTTCACTAATTCGAAAAAATTTTTCTGTAGAACTTGCCCTTCCGCGGACGGAAATGCTGGGACCGCCACTGCCCTCGCCACCATAAATATCGCCAGTACCGAGGATTTAATCCCATTGGGTATAATGTAAAGGTTAAAGATTTGAAGTCTTTGGTACACTTTGCGTGTATGAGACAAGCATTCCGGTTCCCTCAAAGAAACTACAAAGTATAGGGAGTCAGTCACTTATCGTTAGTTTTCAAATCTCCCATTTTACACTGTTTCACCGTTTCCAAAGCGTAAAGAATTTGTTAGTCCAGAGGCATAATCTCTTGCTAGGATTCTTTTTTTATGGCTTTGAAATTACACTTTCTTCCAAGAAGATTAAGATTCGTAGATAACTATCTTCGGTGTAAAACTACTCAGAAGAAAGGTTCAGATTGATATGTGCACTTGTGTATATTTTTGTCATTTAGAGCCAACCCCGGGTCTTTTTGGACTGTATATCTCCTGCATAATGTCTGCGACTCTTTCGACCTTGTCCAGTGGAATGAATAGCATGGCAGCGGCAGTATATGAAGATTTCATAAAAAGTTCAATGGACGGCCGAATCACTGACCATCAAGCCACGCTTGTAAATAAGGTTGCCTGCTTGAGCCTGCATTTTTCGGCAAAATTCATAGTAAATATGAGATTCAGGCAATTGTTGTCATCGGAGGAGTTGTATCCACAGCGCTAGCATTTTCCGCGGAGTCACTAGGTGGAATACTTAGGGTAAAAGCTGAATGCTTTCTCTTGTAACGAATTCAACTTCTGTTTTCAGGTAACCATATCTGTCATGGGTGCTATATCAGGACCAATGGTAGCTATTTTTGTGCTGGCCATGTTCTTCCCTAAAACAGGCTTTTGGAGTTGTTTGATCTCCTTTATTGTCTCCAACATTATAATGGTTGCAATATGTATGGCTAATTATATTGAAGACCCCTATGGTGACCTCTTTCTACCAACAAACTCCAGGTAAAGTGCTCTTCTCAGACTTTAACAGTAGGACGCTTTTTTATGACATATTTGCAGCATAACTGGATGCCAATCACGTAATTTTACCGTAAGACAATTACCTCCATATGATGCTCACTATGGAAATCAGGAAACGATGTACATATCGAGGTTTGCAGGCGTTCACTCTGAAAAAGTTGGAAGTATATTATGACAAAATCTCTGTAAGAATATCGACATACGCTTATGGTGGACTTGGTTTCTTCATAATGATACTCATTGG